TAACCCCCCCCACCCCACACACACACCACACCCATCCACCCCAAAAGGATGGAAAGCCTTTTTTTTTCTTCAAAATTGAAACTTTGGAAGAAACCCTTTGTAATTGGGAGTTTATTTTCAATAAGATCCACCAATCAGATGGGGACACCTTCAAAAGTACAGATAACAAGACACAGTAGCTACCAAATTCTCAAAAAGATCACTAGAGTAAAAAAGGGGAGATTTTGGAATCAAATTTTCACCTTATTATTAGGGCTGGCAAGGTACAAAGCGAGCAATTTGACAGCTTGAAGAGGAGTAGGAGCTGATGCATCGATCTCATTGATCACAAGCTGTAATGAAAAAAAAAACAAGACACTAACTAGTAAACATAAAAAGAACTAACAATCACAGAAGAATTCAAAATCATAACAATACTGAAAAAAAGAAGAAAAAACCTGATAACTGGAAAGAGCAATGTAAGATCGGTAAACAAGAGTGTCTCTTTCAACAGCGTCCTCCTGAGAGAGATTTGGTACATCACTGTTGTTAATTGCAGCTTGGTAAGCACCTATGTAGAAGTTGTTCCTCAATCCGAACAATGGGTCGGGTCCTGACACTGCCATTTCTTCTTCTTCTTCTTCGTTCAACACAAAGTCTTCTTCTTCTTCTTCAATTTGTTGTCAATTCGATTCAGATCTCAGAAAAAAACGAAACTTGAAGTGAAAATTGAGCATTACGAAATGAGTTGGGCGGGTCATTGGTTATGAGGCCCGACAGCGTTTTGGGCTTTTAACACACTTACTATTTTAGCCCAACCATAAATACAAATTTACTTTATAGTTTGAAAGGATTACATATTGTCTCACTAATATTTCAAATAAGATAAACGAGGCATTCTTTTGAGATTTTAAGGCAGATAAATGTATCGAATATTAGATACATGTATCTCTTGATATTAGATACATTCCTAGATACATATAAATGTATCAAATCAAAGATACTAGATATATGTATCCATTAATGTCAAATACATTTTGAGATATATATACATATGGAGAGAGACGAACAAGAGAGGGAAATAGACATATAGATAGGAGAGGGGCGATTGAGAGAGAGCCAGTATGTATGTTTTCTATAAGATATGTTTTGAAATATAAATACATAGGAAGTACGGGAGGGGAGAGGAGAGAGACAAGCGAGAGAGATATTTTATCGCAAATATATACGATTCACAAATACATGCAATTCACTCTTAAACAATATATTTCAATATGTATAACAAATTACACCTAATATAACCTACGAGTATCCGTATACATGCATTTTGGCGAAGTAAATATGATAAAGAAAAATAATTTCCAAACTAAAATGAAGGTACTCAATTGACTTCATGCATATAATAACCCCTTTATGTGAGAAGCGTAATTATTTCTTTTATTCAATAACAAATTCTTAGTGAACTTACAACTTTAAAATGAAAGTAATCAAAATAAAAATAAATCTACATCTTTCATTGAACTCTTTGGATACAAATTAATTAAAGTATTAATACATGTTTTGATGACTTGTCTATTCAAAAATATCAACCTTTTCGTTGAATTAATCTAAAAGATGTATATATTTTGAAGAGGTTGAACAAACATAACTTTCGATTATTACTGATGATGGTGAAGACGAATGGGGAGTCCGTTTTGTGGTGTTGGCATCATATCACCAACAATCTTCTCATTAGGTAGTAACAATTCCCACTTATATTTCATTACAACATTGTGAAGAAAAGTTAGAATTGCAAGACGAGCATACTCTTTACCAGGACACATTCTTGGACCACCACCAAATGGTACATATGTGTATGGAATTGGTCCATCACATTTCTCATATCTTGATGGATCAAACACTTGAGGCTCTTCAAAATATAATGGATTTTTGTTTGTGCTACTTGTTGTCCAATAAACCTACATGTCAAATACACACACAAAAAAAATATTACGAACGTTATTGTGTTTATAATATTTTTTTTTAGAAGTTTATCTATTTTTTGAAATAATTTAGATATATGTGATTGAAATTGAAAATTTGAATCTAAAGTGCATGTCAAAGTTGTCTTAAATCTACTCCAAATAAACTCAAATTTGAAACAGTTTTTCTATATCATAAAAAACAAAGGCATAATACATATATTGGATCATAAACTTGACTTCAAATTTTAACTTTGATCTTCAACTTTCATAATACACAAACAAGCACTTTAGTTATCCAACTTTTAAATAAATAAACACATGAGTCCTACGTGACACAATACACGTAGGACAAAAAATGACATGTAGGACATGTGTGTCTATTTGTTTAACTTTATACAAGTTTAAGTGTCTATTTATGCATATCTAAAAAAGAAGGGCATGAATGTAATCTAAAGTCAAATTAAATGACATATTTATGTATTATGCAAAAAAAACAAATATTAGTTATCAATTTATTTATTTTTATTATTCAAAATACAATTCATGTTCAAATATAAGTAAACTTCCGATTGTTATTTATTTTTTTACTTAAATACTCTCATACACACACAAATACCCTTCCTTCTCTCTCTTCACTTCATTTGGTGAAAGTGTGGTTGAAATTTCTCTAATTTTTAGTTATATGTCTTGTATTTACATGTTATGAATCAGAATTAATTAGATCAATAAATTTTAAATAACAAATGAGTAAACTTAGAAGCCGAAAAAACTATATTTTATCAAATAATCAGGATATAGTCTAAATAAAATCAATGAAAATTACCTTCCAACCCTTGGGGATAGTGTAACCAGCATAGGTGAAGTCTGTCAACACTTGTCTAAAAGTTCCTTGAAGTGGTGGAGTGAGTCTCATTGTTTCACATATCACATTCCATGAATACTTCATTTTGTTCATGTCCTCCCACTCTAACAATTCTCCTTCCTTCTTTGTCGCCGCAATCTCCTTTTGTTCTGTATTTCACGAAATAAAACTTTGGTTCAGTTGTTTTAAAAAAAAAATTCAAAATTCAAATCTCATGACACACTCTATTATTACTATCGGTTAAAAGGAGCGAACCGTTTAAGATCTTTCCGTAGATATCAAATCTCTCTCCAACATATTTCACGAGGAAAGTTATAGTTGTTGCAACAGTACTATAGCCAGCAACTAAAAGTCCCATTATTTTATCAGCAATTTCATTTTCACCCATAGAAACTCCATTGTTATCTTTAACAACAATCATATGACACAATACGTCTTGCGTTTTCACTCCTTTAGAGATTTCATCTTTTTTCTCCTTTATAACATGGATAAGCTCCCTTCTAATTGCAACTGCTGCCTTATTCGCGCGGTAAAAAGCCGTCCCCGGTACGTTCAGAATCATCGCGTGTAACCCTAACGCAACATCGTCAAAACAATCTACGAGCTTCACCATCCTCTCTGAACTACCCAGAAAGAAACGACTAGCAAGTGTCAATGTCAAAATTTTAGCAAAATCATACATTTTAATCTCAACTTTGTCTCGCAGAAGCTCTTTTGTTATACAATCCATTTCCCCCAAATAACGGGCTAGGGATTCGGGCTTTAAAAACCCGGGCTGACGAATAACCCGAGTTGATTGAGATTGAGAATGAGAAAGAGAAGGATTTTTCGATTGGTAAGAACGAAAAATTCTCTGCATAGAGTGAGTACGAAACACGGTAAATAGTTTCTCTTCGTTCGAGAAGAGGAATTTGTGGCCGTTAGGGCCACAAATTACGACCGTTTTCTCTCCCATTATTTTAGTTTTAAAAATATCGCGAGAGTATTTATTCATCCTATCGCGAACAAAATCTTCAGGATTACTAAACAAAAACTCTATCGTCTCTCCTATTACGGGCCAACCGAAACTGCCCGGGGGTAGTTTGGTATTTTTGGAAGAACGATTTTGATAGAGAATAATAGTGAGGATGAAAGAAAATACAACTAAGAAAATGGTGGAGAGATCAATAGCATCCATTGATTAATGATTTGTTAGGCAGCTAAGTTTAATCGATGCGTGTTAATATATAGAGAGAGGAGGAGTGTTGGATGAACTAATTGCTTCGTATCGTGATGTTAAATTTTCGAGCAAAGTGTAGATAATATTATTAGTAAATAAATAATTTAATTAAGTTTATATACTACATTGATAATGTGATAATAGGTAATTTTAATTATTTTGATTAGCGAGTTTTACTTGTTATGAACAATATATTATTATTTTTTAATTATTCTTCTAATAGTAATTATATTGATCTATACTTTAACGTTATATTTTTATATAAATAGGAATAAAATGATATGAAGATGAAGATAGTTAGAGTAAAAAAAGTTAAAACGGAGGAGAGGTGGAGACATAATGATTATCTAACATTATCACTATAATTTTGGTCATGGCCCGCATCACATTTAGTCAATTTCAAATTTAATATTTTCGTTTTAGATATGGTTAATAATTTGAAATATTTTTTTATAATCGTATATAAATACGAGCAACAAGCCGTGTGGAGTAAGATAAAAAAAAATAATTTTTTTGTCATGTTTTTATATGTATATGAGTTGTTCTTTTAAACTCTATTTATTTAATTACGCAGTAATTGTAGTTAATTGATTGACCGACGATTAATTGTGTCGCTGTTATATCTTGTTATTCTCAACATAGATTATGAGATTAGGTTATAGTTTAATAGCATCACTTTGAAGAATAAGAATAATGATTGAGATTTATAGAGGGTTATAATAATAACATAGCATCAGAGCAATTTGAGTGAATATATTAATTGTTTAATAAATTTATCGTAAAAGAAAATTCTTGATCGATCGAGATTAATTCGATGATATATAGTTAACCTGTATAGCAAAAAGGAAGTCTTTGGATATAACTTTGAATTTGTTACACTGTCACCAATATTTTAAGTAATTTGATAATGTATTTTTCCCCTAAATATTGAGAATAGAATTTTAACCCATAATTAAAAAAGTTAACTTGACTTTATGGAGAAATCGATTTATTGCACAATTGGGTCGCCGATCAAGTGACGAAATGTATAGAAATTTGATTTTATGTTATTTTTGATAATTTTTGATTCAAGACAAATATAAATACAATAACAGTAACTAAAAAGAATCAAAACATAAAAGATAATATATGAAATGGAGGGGAGACTTACTTCCCTTTTCCTTGAGATCCAACTAATTTGATTACCTTTTACGACTAAATTGAGGAATATTATCATTACAACTTTAACAAAAAAATATAATTCAATCTTGTTTAAGTGGTGCACTACGTATTAGTGTTAGAATTAGGTTGATAAACAAATTCATCAGTTATTATAATCATCTTGAGTCAACAAATACTTTTGGTGGAATTTTTCCCACTTTTAACCACACTCATTGGATAATTTTTGACAATGCTATCACAGTTTCACTGTCACAGTAATCTATTAGAATTCAGTTTAATTTAAATTTATGCAGTGTAGGATTTTTTTTTGCATTTCCAATTAAAAAAATTATATCCAAAACCCAACAACCGATTAATAATAAAGATATTTAAACTATTTTAACGTAATATATATTTGTGAGATTAATTATAATAACGACAAATAAAAACAATCTTTTTTTTTCCTTTTAAAATACTTGTTGGGATATAACCTATTTAGGGGAGTTGCTTTTAGGCAACTATACGATTGTTA